TCCTGTGGCAGCCAAATTCTGCCTTGACCCTTTGGCAAGTTTTGTGAAGGATTTTCCCACCCCTCCTCCAACAATAGAAAACTTTTTTTTTTTCTTTTTTGATCCTGGGGATTGAATCCAGGGGTAATTTACCACTGATCTACATTTCTAGCCCTTTTCATTTTTAAATTTTGAAACAAGGTCTTGCTAAGTTGTTGAGGGTCTTCTTAAATTGCTGAGGCTGACCTCAAACTTGAGATCCTCCAGCCTCCTCAGTCTCCCTAGTTGCTGGGATTACGGGCATGTGCCACCGTACCAGACAGCAACAGAAAACTTTTAATGGTATTTACATAAGATTGTGGGCCCAATCTTTCCTTCCTCTTTCCCAAGGGTAGACAGTCTTTTCTTTACCTTTCCCCTAGCAATGAGTTTTTACCTGTACCCTGGATGTATTAGATATGCGGCCCCCTGTTGGGTGGCTTAAGGCCTTTTTTCTTATAGACAATGAGTCAAAACAGGGTCTCCTCTATCTGGAACTGACAGCCACCTAGGCCTTACCAATGAAGRGGATTCTTTCCATTCTCTTGCCCTCCCCTAATTTTTCTCTAAAGATCTGTGGGGAGGAAGCCCACAAGTGGCTATAAATTCCCTTGTATCTGTAACTTCCAATGTGTCTACCTATATACAGGACCTTTGGCAACCCACTAAGAGAGTTTAGCCARATGCTTCTTGTCTGCTTGGCTGGTGCCCAACCTCTCTTCCTGTGACTGTGTTCTGGCACAGGTGAGACAGTACTTGTATTCCTTCTTCTGGAGAACTCTGCTTTTCTTTGGACTTTAGCCTACTTAGCTTTTATGTCATAAGCATTATAAGCCCTCTGATGAGTTTAAGAAATGTTATGATTTTGTGGTTTATCTAACATTTTATTATAATTTGAGTAGCAGTGATACTCTTCCACTTTCCTCATCCTGGGCAGAAACAAAATCCCCAAATTCAGCAACATTTCAAAGGGAATTTCTTTTTTGCTAATCAATAATAATTTGCAGAAGACACATTTATTCAGATAATGCTTGTTAAACATTTAAATTTATGGGTTTTTTTTTTTCATAGACATTAGTAGGTACCACATCCACCCCTCTCTCAGATATTTCTTTTCTTTTTTACTTATTTTYTCTTGTAGTGCTGGGAATAAAACCCTGGCCTCATGCTTGCTAACCACTGAGCAAAACTCCCTGCTCCCCCACATTACATTTTTTGGAATCACTATCATACCTAATACTAAAACCAAAAAACAAAACAAACTTAAAACATTTAGCTATAGTTTTGAAATTATTAAGATTAATTATAATTCTGATAGTTATTGGGATTTAGCCATATTTTAAAATACAAAGGCAAAAACTCTATCACTTTATTAAAGAACAAAAATGATTTATTTGCATACATGGTCAGAAATAGCTTCTACAAAGAATAAGCTTTGAATTTCCTAATTCTTACATATTTAAAGTTATAATCATAGTATGTGAGGTAGGAAGGTGGTAAGGTCGCTAGGCATTGAACTCAGTATATAATGCTAAAAAAATTCATAATTCTCGTTTCCCACAAAAACATAAACTGATGTTGATTAATTACTACAATTACATCTATTGTTTTTAGTGTTTATACACACACACACACACACACACACATTCTGAACAACATAATCTACGAATAAGAAAACTAAAAATTACTATGACTTTGACAATCCAATCCAATCCATCCTAGCATTTAACCATAAAACATATGATCTAATTTTTTTCTCATTATTGTATAGTATGTTTGACTTTCTAATTATTATTTATCATGATAGTTTTAAATTTTTCAGAGAGAACCTAAAAGAGGAAAGTATTTTTTTWAAAAACAAACTATTTCAAACTGGGTACTGTTGCACATGCTTGTAATCCCAGCTAGTTGAGAGGCTGAGGCAGGAAGATCACAAAACCAAGGTCAACCTGGGCAACTTAGTGAGGTTCTGTCTCAAAAATTTAAATTAAAATTTAAAAAGGGCTGGGGATGTAGCCCAGTAGCTCAGTGGTAGTGGGAAAAAAAAGTGAGCTATTTTAACATACCACTTTATCGAATTTAGTTCTTGTGTTCATCCAAACTGATTTCAAAGTAGTCTCACTTGTATTAAAGATAGCTAACTTGAACAGTTAAAGGGAAAATAATAGAAATGAAAACCACTTTCTCAGAAGTTGCTTTCACTACAAAATTGTTAGACATTCATCAGTATATATAATCAGATAAGTGGTATCATGTAGTCAAAAACATACCCTATGAATTCAATACCAAATGAAACAACCCTTTTCCAAAGATGTCATCTGTGAGAACAATCAATTCAATTTGTCTCTTTTATATTAAAATATGAAAGTAATAGCTAAGGAGGGGAAAATTTAAAAAACAAGGATATTGCAGATTTCTTAGCAGCATAGTGTTAGAATCTATGTTCTACCATAGCCTCAATTTTGAATGAATGAGCATTAAAAAAGGTGCTATTTCTAGTAAACTGCTTTGATTTTTTATATTTGCATATTAAGCTACTATACATTTCAAAGTAAAGTACATGATACTTCCCCCTGAAATAATTTGGGGTTCAAGTATGCTTAGAAACATTTATCTCCCAGAAAAGATGTGGTTTTGATTCCCTGGTGATAGGATGAATTTCCTTATCTTCAAGGCCTCTGAGTGTAAGAGATAGGATTGAATTTYTTCAAGGTCACCCCAAGTCCTGAGAGCCTTAGAGGATTATTTTGGCACTCTGGCTTTCTATTCTCTGAAATATTTGGCAAAGTCTCAGAATTTCATTAGAAAAGAAAAAAAAAAACATAAAATTTATGGGAAAAAGTCATAACTGTCTGCATTTGCCAAGGCAATTATATCCCATTCAAGAAATATTCAGTCTAGAGATATATATCAACTATAGAGTGAAAGACTTGGCTTCTATTTAAAATACTCTATTTATAACCCATTGGGTTTTTATGTGTCTTAGTTGAGGCTGAAATAGGTCTGCTCTCCTAACTTTTGAATTAGATGTAATATTAAACGCAAAAAAAAATTAAACATATTAAGTCTAACAGCTGTAAACTTTCTCCTACTGGCTAATTTCTAGGTTTCTTTTATTTTTCTTATGACTTGTTTACCTATTAAATGTCAACTGGACATTACTTAATGGCATTGCTGTAAGTCAACAAAAATGTAACTATTGCCATCCTGTGGTGAAACATTCACATAAAGTGAAACTGAAAACATCGTCACTTTCCTAAAGACAGTAAAATCATACCAAAGTTACCTTCCTATGAGCTAAATCAGTTGTTTTATTAGGTAAAATGTCCCTCAAGAAAATACAATTCATTTATAACTAAGAAATTCTTTCTTTCTTTTTACCAAGTACTGGGAATTAAACCCAGAACCTTGTTCATGGTTCAGGCAGAACTCTTCTCCTGTCTAAGCCTCCTGAGGAGCTGGGATTATACTGAGTCCAGCCAAAATGTTTTTTAAAAAATTAAACTAGCCAGGYGTGGCAGCACATGCCTATAATCCCAGAAGTTCGGGAGACTAAGGAAGAGGTTTATTGCAAGTTCAAAGTCAGCCTCAACAATTTAGCAAGGCCCTCGGCAACTTAATGAGATCTTGTCTCAAAATAAAAAAAGAGCTGGGGATACAGGCTCAGTGGTTGTATGCTTGGATTCAATCTCCAGTACCAAAAAGAAAAAAAGAAAAACACTAAATGAACTACACTGACAATTAAAGGCAATAGCACTCAGTAGAAGGGATATCAAATCAGTCATGTTATTACCTTAAGAATATTTATTTGCTCATATATATAATATACTGCCATGATTAATTTCTAAATCACCACAAGAAATTCTTATAGGCAATTTTTCATATGATTCTAAAATAAAATTTACCACTTATGTACCATGGATAGGTTAAAAGTGTTCAAGTGTTCTGAAAAGTTGGATTAAGAGAGAAACAAAAAAATGGAAGAGTTAAAGCCTAAATTTCATATGATATAACCCTCTTTTTTATTGTTGTTGTTGTACTAGGTTCATCCCAGGGTCTCTCAAACAATAGGCAAGTGCTCTACCACTGACCCTCAGCCCCAGGATAATCCTAATAACTACCTTGGGCACTTCTCTCATTTAGGTCCATAGCTATATTTATAATTATACTGGCATTCAATAATATGCATTCATTCATATATTATAACATTAAATAAAAATTAGCTATAGAAAAAAATCACCCCATTACTCATAAAAGCAAGAAAAAAATATTCAATTATTCAAAATATTCCTAACACTTCTTCCTGGATTATAGACAAAAAGTTTTTAAGCAAAAGTGATATTAATTTCTACTCCAAATTTCAATCTCGGTTATATAAAATACAAAAGACCAAGAAGCAAGAAGGCAAAAAAAAAAAAAAAAAAAAGCACAAAAATTCACGGAAACATAAAAACAATGTCAAAATGCTTCAGTGCTAATTTGTGGAGTTACACAATTTTGATACTACAATAATATAGAAAACTGCATCCACATGATAATAGCATGTAACATGAGAATCATTTGTTGTTGTTGTTGTTATACTTAGTTGATTTCACTACACAACACAAAATGTCCTTTCTACAGCCATGATTCCTGCCTTAAATGTATTATAATTTAAGACAGACAACTATGATATATAGATTTATGTCTAATTAAAAAGAACCTGACATTTAGTTATATAAAAACCAAAAGTTAACATTCAAGGAAAACATTAACTAAGAGTTTTAAAAATCAAATAGAAATAGTGTTTACTGGTAAAAAGAATTAACAAATTTATAGTAAAATACAAGATTCTTCATCCAAACAGACAAAATGAGGGAAAAAATTATCCTAGAAATAAGAGTAAGATATATGTAAAAGAAAAGAACTCTCAGGATATATCTGTTTACTATTAGGATAAGTATCAAATTTATATTATTACCTATTTTAAAAACAATTCTTACCTTGTGGTGAAAGTGTAATATCAGATTTACTTCTCACATGTATTAAACGACTTTTTACTGGCTTGTGTTCAACTTCTTTAACATCCTCATCCTGCTTTTGTTGATACTAAAGAATTTAAGACATAAAGTCACAATATTATTTTTCTAAGTTAAAATCTGAGCAGTTATTCAGGTGTTTATTATAAAAATTTTTAATAATATGCTTGCTTTCAAATTACCTTTTAATCATTTTGTYATTTATTAGCACTTCTAACAAATGAGTGATAGAGTACATTTTTTTCTTTTTTCCTTTTCTTGCAGTGCTGGGGATAGAACCCAGAATTTCACACATGCTAGGCAAGTGCTCTGTCCCTGATCTACATCCTCAACCTATCAATACATATTTTTAATGTTTTTATTAGTGCATTATACATAATAGTGGGGTTCACTTTGACATAATCATATAGCATGGAATATAATTTGTTTCATTTCAGTCCCAGTACTTATTTAAAATTTTTTTTAAAAAGAGAAAAAAAAACCTTTAAAAGATTTCAATAATATACATGGATTTCAATTATTTTAAGCCATTTCTTACAATTTCTATTAGAGAATTTAGAGCTACTTATAAAGCAAACCAGTCTAGATTTATACACACATGATGGAGTTAGAATAAGAACTTAATTTGGCTGTAAGCTCTTCCACATAACCACTTTTGCATAAAATGAGAATTTACATAATGCACTGCAATTTTCAAAGAGCTTTTATATATAGTAACATAATTTAATTCTCAAAAGTGTGAGGAGGGATTGTTATCCTCCATTTGCCATTCAAAGAATGTATGCTCCACCATAAGSCCCATCGTCTTTTTTTTTTTACCCATACTTAAGCAAATCTGAATTTACAAGAGTCACAAATTTCTTCACAATCAACTTCATAAACTGTGATAACTTTAGCCAATTACTTTCCTTTCCTGTTTTATAGCTTAATTATGAATGAGTTCTAAAACAAATAGCAGATATACTTTAATAGAACTTTAAAAAAGACATCCCTGGATACTTACCAATAACTACAACCAAAGAATCTGAAACACCTGTCTACATATACTCAAGAGAGAGAGAGAGAGAGAGAGAGAGAGAGAGAGAGAGAGTGTGTGTGTGTGTGTGTGTGTGTGTGTGTATACTCAAAAGCACTGACAGGCACATCTTCATCTAGAGGTAAAAATGAACAGCTTTAGATTAGAGTAATAACAACTAGCCTTAACTCTTGTCTTGAAGTTTAGAGTCACTAGTCATGTAGCTTTCTGTCTTGAATGAAATACTACTTTGGTGTGTATTTCTAAGACAGGTACTATGGCTTGAGCATCAAAAATCTAAAATCTGAAATATTTCAAAATCCCAAACTCTTTGGCACCAACATGAATGCCTCAAGTGGAAAATTCTATATCTGAGAGCTCACATGGAAGGTCACAGCCAAAATGTAGGTGCACTAAAAATATTGTATAAAGTTACCTTCAGGCTGTATGTATAAAATGTATATGAAGTATAAATGAATTTTGTGTTTAGACTTGAGTCCCATCCCCAAGATATCTCATTATGCATATGCCATATGCTTCAATCCCAAAAACAGAGACATGAAATCTGAAACACTCTGGTTGTAAGCATTTTGGATATGGGATTCTCAATCTGTAACTATCTTAGACTCTGATTTAGAACCTTCTTGTCGGTTCCTTTCCTTACCATAGCAAATAAGAGTGGTGTTGTGGAACTGCGCTACTTGTGTTCAAATCTGGCTCAGCCATTTTCTATCTTTGGCTTTGAACAAATTATGTAACTCTTCAATACTTCAATTTCCTCATTCATAACAGGAAGATAACAACTATCTCTCATTACTTTGTTATAAGGATTAAATGAGTTAAAACACATAAAGAATTTATGACAGAATCTGGCTAAGTAAGCACTATAAATAAGTGTGCTGCTATTAACAGTACTAAAGAAATCTTAGCTAAAGACATTTTTTTTAATATTTATTTTTTAGTTTTCGGCAGACAYAATATCTTTGTTTATATGTGGTGCTGAGGATCAAACCCGGGCCRTACGCATGCCAGGCGAGCGCGCTACTGCTTGAGCCACATCCCCAGCCCCTAAAGACATTTAATGAAGGAATTTTTTGAGGTCTACTCTTCTGGTAACACTTCATAGTCTTACTGTAAAATAGACMAATAGTTAGAGGCAAGCAATCTTTCTTTTTATTAAACAGCTTTTTTGAGGTGTAAGTAATAGACAATAAACTGCATATATTTAAAATGAACAACTTACTAAATTCTAGCATATATGTATGTATGTATGTATGTGTGTATCCATTCCATGAAACCATCACCACAACCAAGATAATATAATGACCACATTCATCAATCTCAAATTTTCTCATACCCCTTTGTATTTATTCATTCCCATTTGCCCTGTCCACCTCTACTTCTCACCACCCAAGGCAAAAACTGAAATACTTTCTATTACTACATAGTAGTTTGAATTTTCTAGAATTTTATATAAATAAAATTGTATAACATAATTATTATGGGGGATTGTTTTTTTTTACTCAACATAATTTTTGCAAGCATCAACCACAGAGCCACCTATGATGGCACACACAGTTAATCCCAGGGACTCAGGAGACTGAGGCAGGAGAATTATAAGTTCAAAGCCAGTCTCAGCAACTTAGCAAAGCTCTAAGTAACTTAGTARGAAGCCGTCTCAAAATTAAAAATTTTTAAAAGGACTGGGGATGGGGTGCAGTGATTAAGCACCCCTGGGTTTCCCAGTCTAACACCAATGTCTATCAAATACTAATGGATAAATTCTGTACAATGTAATATTCAGCAAGAAAATAAAAATAAAATGAACTATTGATATATAAAATAATGCAGTGATTCTTTTTGGGGGTGGGTACTGGGGAGTGAACCTAGGGGGTACTTTACCTCTAAGCTATATTCCTAGACCTTTTTTTTTWAATTTTTTGAGACAGTATCCTACTAAATTGTTAACGGTCTCACTAATTTGCTGAAGCTGGCTTAGAACTTTCTATTCTTCTGTCTCAGCCTCCTGAGTAGCTGGGATTACTGGTATATGCACAACCATGCCTGGTTCACATGATAGTCTTTTAAGTGTTATAGATTTCTATTGAGTGTGTATAGTGGTATCTCATTGTGGTTTGCATTTTCCTAATTACTAACAATATTGAGAATCTTTTTTTTTTTTTGTATCAAGGATTGAACCCAGGGGCTCTTAACCACTGAGCTACATCCCAATCTTTTTTAATATTTTCTTTAGAGACAGGGTTTCACTGAGTTGCTTACGACTTTGCTAAGTTGCTGAGGCTGGCTTTGAACTGGCAATCTTCCTGTCTCAGCTGCCCAAGCCACTGGGATTACAGGCATACATTACCACACTCAGTTTGAGAATCTTTTTATGTGCTTATTTTCCATTTATCTATCTTCTTTAGATAAAGTATCTGTCCAAATATTGTCTATTTTTTAGTTGAATTGTTTGTTTTCTTAATATTCAGTTCTGTGAGTTCCTTATACATTGAGTTTCTTATATACTCTTATATAAATCTTTTAGAAGATAAATGTTCTGCACATACTTCCTCTCCTTCTGTGGTCTTTCTTTTCAGTCTTCTAATACTGTGTTTTGAGGAGCAGAAGGTTCTTAATTTTGATAAGACCGATTTTTTAATTTGCTTTTTCATGGATAGTGCTTTGGGTACATATCTATTTTTTCCTTAATAATGATCACAAAATTTTTCCTTTATACGTAAGTTATTAACAGACATTTATTCGTAATTAACAAGTTTTTCCTGATCTTTGCTTGGTCACATGTAAGCAATACTAAACCCTATATAATGGTATGTTCTATAAATAATCTTTATTTTTAAAATTTTCTTCCTCAACACAATAAAATACTGCTCGAATAACATGCAATGAATATTTGCTGATATAAATTAATCCACAATAAGAAATAAACTGCCAATACATGAATTCAAAACTGTATTTAATAACATGAGCTTTTATGGATTACTGTCTTAGAGAAGGTAGCCTTTTTTTCAGTACACACAATTTCAAAGAACACTGGCTTCGATCATTATGAAATTTCATATTTTTTTCATGAAATATATTTTGCAAATTTTCATGAAATAAACATCTATAGAGTACCCACTATGTACAAATTACTGAACTAGGTATGGAGATACAGGAATGTGAGTGATAATAGCTACCTAATTAGATGTCACATATCTATATCTATTATTTTTAATCTTTAACTTAAAGATAAGAAAATTTAGACTTAGTACAGGCTAAATAATGTGTTCAAGGGCACAGCTAGATTTTGGCTGAGCTAAGATTTATATGCAGGCTTGAGTTAGCAAATAAGAGAGGCATGATTTGAACCCAACTGACTACAGAGATTGTTTTTGACAGTATACCATGCAAAGATAATATTGTCACAATTCTCATTTTAAATAAAAAAATATTCTTAATTTGGTACCTGAGAAAAATCTTCGGCTGCCTCCTGTAAATTAACATCATTTTTTTGTGTTGTCAAAAGTGTTGTGGGAAGGACGAGGTTAGTATTTGGCTGCAACTCCAGCTCTCCCAAACTCATTGGACCATGACTAGCACATGAATCTTCATAAATACCACCTGTTACCAAACATGTAAAACAAAAATTAAAAGTCAAATTTATCTTAGAAAAAGAACAAGTGATTGACTAAAACTACCAATATTTCTTACCTACTGAATTAGAAATAGCAGTGTACTTCAACCAAAACCACCTGGTTATCAAGGGTAAAACCAAAACTCAAAGACAATGCAAAAAATACCTATGTTCAAACAAGTGCATGGAATATTCTAAGTAAGGTTCCAATTAATTAGTCACCCATGCAGTTCCTCCTACTCCTCTCCTCACACACCAACTTCTAATATTCCTTCTTACCTTTCTATCACTAAGAGTTAATATAGTATTTTCTATCTAAAATGTAATCTTAAAGCAAAGGGCAATACCCCTTTTTTCAATAAAAGTTAATCTATTAACATACAAAAGTGACACAAAAGTAATAGTTTTTCTATCTGCCTACAGCTTGATACATGTTCCTTCTCCTCCATTTTAATAAATTTTATAGAAATTTTGTTTTCAAATTCTGAAAGTGATTTTTCTCCATGTCCTTGAAAGACAAAAGGCAATTTCTTGTCTAGAAAAAGCTTATATTTTTCTACAAATGATCAAGCTCCTTTTTCTCATCTAAATAGCATCTCAATCAAAATGATAAAAAGAAGAAAATAAAGAACAGAGTCTGATAATAATATCATTATAAACTTCTATCGCACTTTATACTACAGGCACTTTCATATACATTATTTCATTTAATTTGAACTTCACAATCATTCTGTAAGATAGGCAGGCCAGAGACTGTCTTTCACTGATAAAACTGTCTTTCACTGATAAAACTAAAGTTTATTGAAGTCTAAAACTCAGAAAGCTAGCAAGAGGCACAGAGGAATTAAAACCTAACATCTTCCAACTTCTAATCACTTCTCTTTATTTCATGTTCTTCCTAAAATATTTCTAAGAAATTTTCATTTTTTCTAACTAATAGCCACCTTTTAAATACTGCAACGTTTAATATACCTCATTTTAACTGACAGAGATAGACTTGAAAAGTCACACATAAACTAAATTGTTTTAAATGAAAGAATACATTAAAGACACAATATTTTCCACTTAAAGACAAATTGGAATTACACAAGTGACAATTTCCCAAGTACAGAAAATAATCATACTCCGATCTTTTATGTTAATCAAGATTTTAAAGGAGAATTTGAGTAAATGTAAAATGTGTCTGTTGAGTTTTATAGTATCAATTCATACAAAACAACTCATGAAAACTATGACCTCATTTTGTTCTCTAGTATAAGATTAATTTAAATAATGATAATAATACCATAACTTAGAATAACCAATGTTCCTGGCCTTATATTTGCTTTACATTCTGACACATCTTTTTCTATTCCTATGTCACTTGTCTAACATTTTCCTATGATTGTCAAAGAAACTGAGAAGAATTAGTACATATAATGTTGAAGGAGAAGACATTAAAAACTTATTTGCTGACAATATGGCATATACCTAGAAACTCTAGTGAGGAAAAAGAGCTCTATTAAAATTCATAAAAGAACTTGGTAACATAACTGGTACTAGATAAACATCCAAAAATGATTAGTTTTTCTTTTTATTATACCGATAAGTATTTAGAAACTGAAAAAAAAAATACTTACTATAGAACAAAAACTATAAAATAATTATTAAATTATAAAACAACAAAGAATAAAATATAATTACAAAATATTTAAATTATAAAAAAATAAAGGATAAAATTTTAAAAGGCACAGAATCCATATGAGGAAAATTTATGAAATCTTATTAAAGGGCAAAATCTATTATTGAAAAATTTAAAATAAAATCTCAGAAAATTAGAATAAGATCTGAACAAATAGTAAGATATACTAAATTGTCAGTACTTCTAAAACATAAGTTAGTTTAATTCCAAATTTGGGTAATTTTTGGCTGGATAAAATCCTTTTGAATTTACATGGAAAAATAAGTATCTGGAAATTGTCAAGAAAAGTATGAAAATGAAAAAAAAAAAAAGGAAGACTTGCCTTATCGGATAACAAAATATACCATAAAGTCAAAAGAGTTTAATCAATGGTTTAGATCATAAATAATCTTGAATTCTTACAGTGAATAATCCAGAAAAATAGCCTTACATTTATGAGAATTTAATATGCAAACTGATATTTCAATTCAGTTAGAAAAAGATAGCTCAAATAATTGATGCTGATACAAATGGCTATTTATCTGAAAAAAAAATCAAACTAGATATTTCTTTCTTTCTTTCTTTCTCTCTCTCTGTCTCTCTCTTTCTTTCTTTCTTTCTTTTTTTAATACCAGGAATTGAACCCAGGGGCTCTTAATCACTGAGCTACATCCCCAGACAAGGTCTCACTATGCTGCTTAGGCCCTTGTTAAGTTGCTAAGGCTGGCTCTGAACTTACGATCCTCCTGCCTCAGCCTCCTGAGCCTCTGAGATTACAGGTGTGTGCCACTGTGCCCAGCTCCAATTGGATTTTTATCTTATAACATTTACTAAACAAATTCCAGATAAACTTTAACATAAATATATACTTAATAATTAAATACTGCACATACAAAAACCTAAAAAACTGCAGGTATAAGCTTGTGTTAGCAGAAACCTAACTAAACTATAAAAACAAAGTATAGGCTGGCATCCCTAATCCAGAATATCTGAAATCTAAAGTGCTCCAAAATCTCATACTTCTTAAGCACCAACATGACACAACAAATGGAATTTCTACACCTGACCTCATGTGACAGGTTTCAGTCAAAATGAAAATGCTTCTAAGATCAGGCAAGGCCCAGGAGAATTACAAATTCAAGGTCAGGAGGCTGAGCAGGAGGACTGCAAGTTTAGGACCATCCTAGACAATTTAGCAAGATCCTGTCTCAAAATAAAATGAAAAGGGCTAGGGGTGAAGCTAGCATGCATGAAGCTCTGGGTTCCATCCCTAACACCATGGGGAAAAGAAATGAAAAAAAAATGCACTGAAAATATTGCACAAAATTATCTTCAGGCTATGTATATGAGGTATGTATGAAATAGAAATTATGTATTTAGACTGGGTCCTATCCTCAAGATATCTCATTATATAAATGCAAGTATTCTAAAATTTGGAAAAAAATCTGAAATCCAAAACACTTCTGATCTCAAGCATTTAAGGCAAGGGATATTTGAACTGCATAAAAGATAGACATATCAGTTGTATAAAAAATTTTATTATATGRCAAAAAAAATCATAAACAATGTCAATGAACAAAATATAAACCTGGAAAAAGATGTCTGTAATACAGATAATAGAAACAGATTTAAAAGTTACTAGGAAAATTTAGAACTTAACAAATGGGAAAAGAACTTAATAARAGTAAATACAGGGGTTGTGGCATATGGTAGATCACTTGCCCAGCATGTATGAGGCACTAGGTTAGATCCTCAGCACCACATAAAAAATAATAAATAAAGGTATTGTGTCCATCTACAACTAAAAAATACTTTAATAATAATAATAATAAAAAGATGGGCTGGGGATGTGCCTCAAGCAGTAGTGCACTCGCATGACATGCGTGGGGTGCTGGATTCAATCCTCAGCACCACATAAAAATAAAATAAAGATGTTGTGTCCACCAAAAACTTAAAAAACTCTCTTTCTCTCTCTCTCTAAAAAAAAAAAAGAGTAAATACAAATGACTCGCTAGCAGTCAGATACATGTTTTTATCTGTCAAATGACAAGTTACAAACACAATTTCAGGAGGGAATTCAGGGAAAAGGCTCTAATAAATTGCCTATAAAAGTAAATTGGTTTTAACTTTTAAGAAAGCAACTTGGCACTATTTGTTTTTAACTTTTTAAAAACTTTTCTTTAGTTTTAGGTAGACACAATACCTTCATTTATTTTTATGTGGTGCTGAAGATTGAACCCAGTGCCCCATACACGTAATTCTTGTGCTCTACCACTGAGCTGCAACCCTAGCCCCTATTTTTAAATTAAAACTATATTTGCCCTTGGATCTAGTAATTACTTTTGGAAGCTATTCTATCAGTATAAAATGCAACAATTTACTAGATAAGTGTTTGTGGACATTTATTCTAGAATTGTTAATAGCAGAGGAAAATAGTAATAAAGTAAATATTAATCAACAGAGAAATACTAAATAAATTACTTGAAATCTACACCCTGGAATTTTTATATAATCATCGAGTTTAATTATAACAACTGACCTGCAGTAATCTATAGGGTTTCCTGGGGTAAACAAAATGCAGGCAAGTGAAAAATACTGGCTATATGTATTGTTTATGTGTATGTAGGTGCATGTGCACGTATGTGCATACATAATTATGTGTGTAAGGAAAAAACCAGCAAAGTTACATACCAGAATCTTAACATGGATCACTTGGGATAAGGCAGAACATGAGAAAGTTTGAGAAAATTGGGGGTAGAGGGTATGGAGGGCGCCCCAAAAGTACGTAATACCTTTCAAATTATATAACACCTATCAATTAACAGATATTTACTATATACCATGTACTCTGTACCTTGCTAGATGACAGGGATACAACAGTAAACAAGATAGTTACTATCTTTATGTGAGGTTACAAACAGCATAAAAGTGACACTAGCCAACGTTAGAGGATTACTCAGAGTACCTATGACAGGTATCTAAACCAGGAATAAGGGTTCAGGAAAGAATTCCATGACAGCATAAAAATGCTGAATTTGCTGTGTCACTTCTAAAAAGTATGCTCATTAAGTGTGGATGACTTTGTAATGTTTTGAGCAACTGATAAAAAAAATTTTWAAAAAAGTGTGGATGACTTTTCATATGATGCAAGTCAGACCTTTGTAACAGTGATACTTAAAGTATTACTTCATTGAAGTCAACATAATGTACAATAATTTGAAATCCCCACTTTCCTAAGGACCTTATTATACTGAGAAAGGAACCAATACAGACTTTCAGAAAACACTAAMCTCAGAAAACTAAGTTCACCTGAAATTACCAGTGCTCGCAACAGTTTTTTGCCTGGTTTGTCAATAGATTATTTCACTAGTATAAAACCTGAAGGCACTTCAAATCCAACATGTATAAAACCCCACCATCCTATTTCCCCCTGAGTCTGTCCCTCCTCCATGTTTCCACTCCTAAGATGAATGGGATGACCACCGAGTCAAGCATTTTGGTCTGAAACTTGGGTATTTCTTAAACATTCCATATCTTTTGCACCTCTCAARTTCAAATTAAGCTTTGTCCATCCTCCTTAATTATCTCTCAAATCTCCCTTTTCATATATCCTCACTGCTGAATAATGTCTCCCCAGGCTTACATTAACAGTCATTTAATCAGGCTCCTTGTCTCCAGTCTTAACCCTTCCAAATCCAACCTTCACATTGCACCTCTGATGATCTTGCTAAATAAAAGGCTATAACAAAATTATGTCATTCATTTACTTATAATTCTGTCCATATGAAATTCTAAAATGCCAAACTCTAAGCTACTTTGCTACACTGCCATATATATGTGTGTGTATAAGCATATATATGTATATGCTCAATCATGCCACATTACCTAGTATTTTTCCAATTAAATCAAACAAACATTACAAATATATCTACTATTAAACATAAACTGTACTATAGGTAATCTTCCGAGTGCTACCAGAGATATAAAGGACTAGATGAGCTACATCGTCATGGATTTTGTTCTATAATAATTTAACAGGAACCTAGCTCTTCTCAAGTACTCAGCAGCTCTAAATTGATCTGCGAGAGCCATCTAGTGTCAATTCTGTTTAATTGCAATCTGCACAATTACAATATAAATAAAGCCACATTTTATGCTATTTGAAATAAACTTACTTGAAAGAATATAAAGCATCTTATAGTCTAAGCATATGCACAAAATGAGAACTAATGCCAATCTTTACATTTATTCCCATGGAAAATTCAGTCTTAACGACTGAATTAATATAAGATGTTCACTCAATATAAAACTAACACTATAAATTCTCTATACCTGTGTTTTTATAACCTCAGCCATTTCCTTTTCTGATTTCTGGAAAATCTGCACACCAAAAGACATTTCTTTTTGCTTTGAGAATGCAGCAATAGGCATAGAAAAACAAGTAATAAGAATATAGTCAAGCCTCATTTGCAAATTTAMTCACTAAAATTTATTTGTATCTCCAAGATTAATATTCATAGTACCTATGGTGGTCATTTATGGACATGTGCAGGAGGAAAATCACACAGCACACACTCACCCACATGAAAGTGAACAGAGACTTTGCATTCTTATTTCATCTTTTATACTATAAACAAGTGACTTTGTGTGTGTGTGTGTGTGTGTGTGTGTGCGCGCAATTTTGCTGCTTAAAATGGTCACCTGGCCATTTTAAAAATACTAAAATACTGTCTAGTGTTCCAGAGCATAAAAAGGCTCTGAACCGCCTTGTGGAAAAAATACATGTGCTAGATAAGCATGCTTCGAGCATGAGTTATAATGCTGTTGGTTGTGAGTTCGATATTAGTCAGTCAGCAATATATATTAGAACTGGGAATATAATTCAGTGGTAAAGTGCTTGCCTAGTATCAGGAGTATTTTTTTGTAGTACTGGGTATTGAACCCAGTACTACCAAAAAAAAAAAAAGACACCCCTCTATATATTTAATACATATGTATACACACACACACACACACACACTAAATAAGATGGCTTCATAGAGAAACCAGGTTATATATTGATCAACTGACAATGTTGTGAGAAGTTTACAGGAATCTAAGCCTAAATTTCTCCTAGGAGAATGGTTCACTATCTGCTAGTAATGTTCGTGGCTACTATAGAATATAACTACCACAGATAAYGAGAATTAACTCTCTATGCTAGTGATCAATATTCTATTTTATCCTTATTTCCAAAGTGTTAAAGCAGAAAGTGTTAAAGCAGAGTCCTGTGTACACTGACTCCTGAACTGAAAATCAGTTAATTTTTGCAGTWTTATCTAATTGAACCTGTCCTAAGTGATATCATTATGTCAGTTTTGATGGGGTAGTTATATTTTTCTAGTATATATTAAAATAAATGCATCAATTAAATGCACATATATTACCAAAATTAACTCATGTGCCACCCAACAGTGCATGTACCAACACTGATACATGAATCACATTTGGGAAAACCTTGCTCTATATCCCATAGAAAAGTTATTACCTTTAACAACAACAAAAAAAAAATTTTCAAGGCTTCATCTGAAAATAATTATACTTTTCTCAATTCAGATTTTTGGAACAGTACTATAGATTATAATACAAAACAGAATATAGCATTCAGCATGGAAAGAGTTAAAAGAAAACTGAATAGGATAGAAACTGAATATTTTATTAGATGATCCAACAAGAAACAACATTTTGCTATATACCTGAAACTGTGTCAAACTGCTGAAAAAATGGCTTTGGATCACATGGTTGATCCACAGACTCTGCGTTAGCAACAGGCTGTTGCATAAACAGAGACTGTCCCTTCAGGACCTTTTCTGCTGCTGCTGTCAGCTTGGGCCTTTGTCCTTCACTGAGTTCACCGACACTGTGTTCCAAGTCCTTCAAAAGAAACAACTGTTAAAACCATAATAYTAAAAACAAACCAAAACAGCAAATATTTGATAAATATCATGGTCCATACCACTCACTTGCTTGGAAGGTACATTATAAAATGATTCCTATGCCACATATACATTACATGGAAAATAAATTTTAAAAGGTACTTTAGTAAAACATACAGTAGTAGGCTTTGTTTTGAATACCTTATTTTATATACATACACACACACACACACACACACACACATATATATTAGTTGTAGATGGACACAATACCTTTATTTTATTTGTTTTATTTTTATGTGGTGCTGGGGATCAAACCCAGTGCCTCATGCATGCTAGGCAAGCATTCTACCACTGGCAAAAACCCCAGCTCCTGAATACCTTATTTTTTCTAAATATATATATATATATATATATTTGTAGTTGGACATAATATCTTTATTTTATTTATTTATTTTTATGTGGTTCTGAGAACCGAACCCAGCGCCTCACACATGCTAGGCAAGTGCTCTACAGCTCAGCCACAACCCCAGCCCTGAATATGTTTTATAAGGTTAATCATTATGTTTTTCAACTTATAATTAAATATCAATAAAATATAAGAAAAATTCTATAATAATTTAAAACAATAAATACTGCCACACATTGTACAWTGTTCATACAACTTAACATTTGAACCATAGAAAATATATCTCTCATTTTTCATGAAACAGAATTCTCTAAAGCTGTTAGTGTGAACTTTATAATTAAACAACTAATGAGGAAAACAATATCTTTTAAGTAGTATATAGATTATCTATATATAAATAATTATGGTTTTTGTAAGTACGCAGATTTAAGACTATTTAAACCATATTTAATAAAGTTCTTTTCCCCATGAAAGTACGAAAATAAAAAAAGTACAAATGTGAAGCCGGTTGTGGTGGCACACACCTGTAATCCTAGCAACTAAGGAGGCTGAGGCAAGAAGATTGCAAGTTCAAACCCAGTCTCAGCCACTTAGTGAAGCCCTAAGCAACTTAGCGAGACCCTGTCACTAATAAAATATAAAAAAGGAAGGGCTGGGGACGTGGCTTGGTGGTTAAGCGAGTTCAATCCCTGGTACACAAAAACAAACAAATAAAAAAAGTTTACTTCATATATATGACATATATATTTACTTCATATATATGACACATTTGTCATATATATGAAGTAAATAGAAAGCTAAAAAAGATTGATGTATTTTTTCTGTATTAAAAGTTATAAATCATATTCTGCATTAAAAATTAATACACTAGTACATTTTGTAACTTACAGATAATCTAATGAATTTTAATAATCAAGAATAGAATAGGAATTCCAACATCAAAATGCTCCCAGGATTCTCTTTCTTGCTTTTTTTGTTGTTGTTGTTGTGTGTATGTGTATGTGTGTGTGTGTGGTGCTAAGAATGAAACCCAGGGTCTCACCCAAGCTAGGCAAATGGCTACTACTGAACTATATCCCCAAATGCTTGTTTCTTATTTTAAAGGGGCTTAATTTCAACCAACATCTTTGATGATTCTATTGACTATGAAATAAAATCTAAACCTATAAATTTAACATTCAGATTCTCTACAATTTTCCAAAATTTTATTTAAAACATCTGTATATCCCCCATTCCTTTAACCTGACTCCTCTTTAGGAATACTAAGTGTCTCACATCCTTTAAGTTGAAAAATATTAATTTGTGAGGAATATATTATCCCTTGGAGACTCTTGGGCAATATTTGGAATAATGGCAGACATTTTCTTCAGAAACTAATTTGAAATATTTCACAGTAGCTATGTTACTGCTTAAAGGTAAAGGTTATGTCCCATTCATCTTTATCTTTTTCAAGGCCGTGTGTAGCATATAGTAGATGCTCAGTAAAAGGTCACAGAATGAATGAGTGATACATAAATCATTTTAAAGAGCTTCAGTTTTTTCAACTATAGAACAAAAGGAGTAGAAAAGATGTTCTAAATTCTCTCCAGTTATAAAATCCTACGTTCTATGACTTTAGGTTAAAGTTCCTTTTGAATAACTGAAATATTAACATGCCTTAATTAAAAGTGGGAATATTTTTATTTTTTCCTGATTTGTATCTAACCAAGAAATAATTAAGATTAGATAATACCTCTGAGTGATAGACTGATTGCTGTGAAACTAATAATTCTTGATTTTGTTTAGTAAGGAGAGAAAGAATTGCATCTGCATGAAGCTTTTTATGGGGCATCCTAATCACCTGTCCTTCACTGGGAGGATCGTCTTCCTGAAAGAAACATAAACACAATTAACACATCAAAAAACTTTATCAATCTGCATTTTTCTCAATTATGAATAACAAAAACTTAGCCATCAAATTACATCAATCCTTTTTGGAAAAAAAGATAAACTCTTCATTTTCATTTAATTCTTTTTTAAAAAATATTTTTKGGGGGCTAAGTTTGTGGCTCTGTGGTACAGCACTGCCTCGTATGTGTAAAGGCACTGGGTTCGATTCTCAGCACCACATATAAACAAATAAAGGTCCATCAATAACTAATAAAAATATTTTTTAAAATATTTTTTAGTTGTAGATGGAAACGATACCCTTATTTTATTAATTTATTTTTATGTGGTACTGAGATTTGAACCCAATGCCTCACAGTGCTAGGCAAGCACTCTACCATTGARCCACACCCCCAGCCCCTCATTTAATTCTTATTTCCATCTGACTACAATAAAACACGTTTGCTTCAAACAAACAACACTATAATTTGGTAACAAACTGGAGACTTCTTGTAAAAACATGAAAATTGGACCTCTGTGTCAAAACCACAAGGATTCACAAGTGTCTTATATATGTCATCAGGGTTTGGGCTTACGTGGTTTCCTGCTTCACCTTTATTCAGTGCACAAAGCAATGCCACACTGAGGCAATGAGGACAAAGCACTGGAGTAATGGATCTAAGGCAAAAATGGAACCTTAGATCTAAGGCAAAAATGGAAAACTGCAGAATATGCAACAGAACTCAGAGACCTTCAATGTCCTTTTGCCTTTGTGCTGACATCTGCCTCAGCTAGAGAGCAGGTATTGAAACACGCACTAAGACATCCTGCCTTTGATACTTCACTGTACTTCAAAGCAGACCTATTCCCAAATGAGGGACAGSTGGGCGTCAGAGTCAGACAAACTGGATTCCCTCATAAAGACAGGTATGAATCTGATTGTACATTCATTAAAAGTCATTTTAATTAGTTCCTTTTAGTGAAATGAAGTTAATTCTGGACTATAAATGCATATCTTCCAGTTTTATATGGATAAATGTCTAATGACTTTTTTTTGGTACATGACTTCAAATTATTCTGGGTTTTTCCAGATTATTCCTTTGCATTTGATWTTATTATGAATTTGTAGCATATCATTTCGGTATAGTAAAAATATCAAAATTAGAAATCAGTTTCAAATGTAGAAGAAGAAAGAAGTTACAATTTAGTCCTGGTTCAGTTAACTATTTACTTTATAGAACTTTAAATATACTTTGGCTAAGAATGGATAAAAATGCTATAATGGCATATTAGTAGGCCAGATAAAGCTCCTCAGAAAATAAAGATATCTCATTTATGCCTTCTTCCTGTATTGTTTTATAAAAGTGATTATACCGTCTCTACAATGGACTCAATTACTTGTATTAAATAGTCACTYCTAGCTGGGTGCAGTGGCACACACCTGTAATCTCAGCAACTCAAGAAGCTGAGAAAGGAGGACTCAAAAGTTTGAGGCCAGGGACTAGGGTTGTAGCTCAGTGGTAGAGTGCCTGCCTCACACATGTGAGGCACAGGGTTCTATTCTCAGCACCACATAAAAATAAATAAATAAAATAAAGATATTGTGTCTACCTACAACTAAAAAAAAATTWAAAAAAAAAGTTTAAGGTCAGACTCAGAAACATAGTGAGATCATTTCTCAAAATCAAAAATTTTAAAGAAAGGGGCTGGGGTTGTGGCTCAAGTGGTGGTGCGCTCGCCTGGCATGCGTGGGGCACTGGGTTCAATCCTCAGCACCATATAAAAATAAAATAAAGATATTGTATCCACCTAAAACTAAAAAATAAACATAAAAAAATTAAAAAAAAGACTGGGTAGGTTGCTCAGTGCGTAGAGCACCCATGGGTTCAATCTCCAGAACTGCCCACCCCCAATCATTCCTAAAAAAATAATTTTCAAATAAAATCCTTTTTTTGTGTGTGATGCTGGGGATTGAACACAGGGCCTTGTGTTTGCAAGGCAAGCAGTCTACCAACTAAGATATACCCCCAGACCTCAAATAAAATCTTATCAAAAATTTTCTTAATTATTTCCTTACTCCTTTGTGAAATTTTATCTTGTAAACACATCAGTAATAATAACAATGCTTAGCAAAAAATATGGTAAATATAATTACCTTTCTTTGCTTACGTGATTTGAAAATACATAAAAAGTAATTATTTCCATTTTTTAACACTTTCTTCAAAAGAAAATTTCCAATATTATTCCGATTTTATATATTTTATTTATGTAAAAAATATATAAATAATCCCTTTACCAAGGCATTGTTTAAACAGACTACAACACTTTTAAAAAATGACATAGGGACTGGGCATGGTGGTGCATGCCTGTAATCCCAGTGGCTTGGGAGGCTAAGGCAGGAGGATTTGGGGTTCAAAGTCAGCCTCAGCAAAATCGACTTAGCAACTCAGTGAGACTCTGTCTCTAAATAAAATACAAAATAGGGCTGGGGATGTGGCTCAGTGATCAAATGCCCCTAAGTTCTATCCCCAGTGCCCCTTCCCCCCAAAAAAGACATAGACCTGTGTGTCTATGTGTGTGTGTGTGTGTGTGTGTGTGTGTGTGTGTGTGTATGCTATGACTGTTTTCTGTTGTTGTTTGGGGGGTTTTTTTGGTACCAGGGACTGAACTCAGGGGCCCTTGACCACAGAGCCACATCCCAGCCCTATTTTTTTAGTTTAGAGACAGGGTCTCACTGAGTTGCTTAGTGCCTCACAGTTGCTGAGGCTGGCTTTGAGCTTGCAATTCTGTCTCAGCCTCTCAAGCCACTGGGATTACAGGCGTGCACCACCATGCCTGGCACGTATTATGACATTTTAAAATGTTAATTTTTCCTTTTTTAGAGCTAGATAATAACTAGGAAGAATTAGTATCCCTGGATCCTATTTTAGTTTTTCTTTTTGGGTCATTAAATTTATATATTTATCAACACAAACAATTATAATCACGATTAAGGAAAAAAAACAAATGTATTAAATGAGATTTGATTAAAATAGGTAAGATTTTTCAGAAAATATTATAAATATTGTAAAGACAACACAGCTAGGTGACACTTTGCATTGAGATAGATTTTATTACCTAATTATATTAACTGTATATTTTTTAACTACTGGGGCCACAGAGGTTAAAAACAACTTTTCATTCTCACAATTATGATAATATTACATAATAAAATGTACAAAAACCCTACATTCCTTCATGGATAAGATTTTACTAAATTGTGTGCCTAYAACTCAAATAATTGAGAAAAAATCTAATCAGTTGCAACAAGTTCATCAAGATATTCTTCCTGTCAGAATTCAATGTTAGAAACATTCCTTACCATTTCAAGAGCATCTTGCAAAGTGCTAGATAAGCTATCATTTAGGTGTGTCAGATATATTTCTCCAGCTCCTAAAACTAKAAATTAAGATGTAACAGGTTAGAAAAAAGAAGACATGAACATCAGTTTTTTAAACAATGCAATTTAAAACAAAGATAAGATTGCTGTTTCACCTGCAAGTTTGTCAGAAATTTAACAGAACTGTTAAGTAGCACTACAGATATGAAATTGAGAAATAGACTCTCCTATATATTAGTATAATTAAAAATTATAAAATTTTTAAATTAAATTAAATTAATCTACTTTAATTTAATAATTTTTAAATTATTAAATTAAAGTAGATTAATTTTTCCAGAGATGAATCTTTTTGTGTTGTTGATGTATTACTATTTTAAAGATGTATTACTATTTTAATAGATGCCTATTTTAAAGGTAACTACCCTGACTCAGCAATTCCATTTCTAGTCATGTAATCTATGGAAATTATTACATTAGTACACAAAGAAACACAAACACACACATTAAGGATGGTCATTAAAGAGTTGTGCATAGTCTAGAAACATTGAAAACAATTTAAATGCACTCCACTAAGACACAATTTAAATAGACTGAACAACTACTTAAAAAACTGACAGAGACCTATATGTGTTGATACTGTAAGATGCCTACAGTGTATCATTATTAAGTTAAAAATTCAGGTTTCAGAATAATATGCATAGTTTCATCCCATTTTAAAGGTAAATGCACATACACATGTATGTATTTAGGTGTCTATATATGCACAGACAAAAGTATACTGGAAGGATATTAGTTCTAGAGAGTAAGATTATAAGGAAGTTTCATTTTCTAAAATTAAAATCCAGAAGTTACTTATATAGAGAACCTATTCTTTCTAGTATACTATGATAAATATTGAAAATTAGGTAAAAACACTTTAAAAAGAAAAGTCTTACTAAGGGACTTATCACAATCTACCAATGAAATCAATTAATACAGGAACTTACTCTTGGGAGCCAATTTTTGACCACAGCTAAATAAAACCTCTCCTTCAGAGATGGGTCTATCTAAAGTTTCTGTTTCAGTGACAGTAATGCTCAAAGTGCTCTCCATTGTAGAGGAACCAGAACTTGGCATCTGTAAGGGAGAAGGAGCCTTGGTGGCTGCAGGAAATGGTGTAAGGGGAACTGGCTCTGGAGGTGCAGGCTGAGCAGGAAAATCCACACTCTCAGGTTCTTCATCTTTAGCTACAGACATTACACTAAGAAGATAAGGACATATTTTGAATTTATTAGGTCACTAAAGGCCTATATTCATTTTTATATAAAAAACAGATTCAAAGGTGCTGTGTCTCCTTTAGCATAGTATTTCTAGAACTATATTTTTATAATTAATAAGATTCATTCTTCTAAAATTGTTTTTATGCTTTRGTCATTGGCCATCTTGAAACCTCTTCTAGTCAAAAAACAAATCTACATGGGATAAACAACAACATAAGTTAAGTGATCATAGTAAATGATGATCCATACTAAAGAGAAATCATTTTCTATTTTATTATCAGACAGATACCTTTATTAAGTCTGTTTCCAACATTTTAAAAAAGAGGTGAAGATATAAGTAAATTGATAATTTTAAAAACTTAAAACTTATAAAACATCTTCCAAGTATAGTGTGGTTTATAAAGCTCTTCATCACCTCTATGTTTCACTAGGTCATACAAGTGAAACATAAGTGGGAGTATACAGTTACTAAGAATTAATCCAGTCAGCCCTCCATATCCACAGGTTCCATGTCCAGGAGTCACCCAACCACAGACTGAAAATATTTTTTCAAAATATTTGCGTCTGTACTTTTTGTGTGTGTGTCATTATTCCCTAAACAATACATTATAACAACATGGTACAAGCATTTTCAATGAATTAGGTAATAATCTAGAGATGATGTAAAATGTATGTAGATTATATGTAAATACCTTGCTATTTCATATAAGGGACTTGAATATGTGTGAATTTTGGCATGAGGAGATGGGATCCTAGAAATAGTMCCCCTCCAATACAGAGGGATGACTATAAATTCTTACTTACATAGCCCTTGGGTGAACAAATCCTTCTAATAGAGAGTTAGGATTCTCCTCATCCAGTGGCAGGTCTCCATCCCCCCATGGCTTGGGAAGCTCTGGGCTTGATATCTTCAATTTATCAATGGAAATCTCTGACAAAGTTGGGGTAAGAGCAGCTGCAGCTGCTGGAGGAGGCGAAGGAGTAGGGGTAATTGCTGGAGTATTCACAAGTGTAATGGCAGGCATATCATGTCCTAAAGAGTTTTTTTTTTTTTTTT